GATATTCTACCTTCATTTATCACTCTGAACTTGTGCGGCAAAAAGAAATTAATTGATATTTTCGCTAAAAATAGTATGTCCTGATAACTGCCCATTGACTAAAACTTTATATGATCAAAAGGCAGTTTTCAGGACTCAACCGAAATCTGCTTATTTCCAGGTAATTGTGATTGTATAAATATCGAATAAACTGTGAAATTATTAAAATATCATATTTCTAAGTAATTCAACTCCCGGAAACCATTTATTATGTCGTCTGCATGCAATAATTGAACTGTCCTGATAACTGCCCTTCTATATATAATCAATTGTATCTCACAAAATAGTATCTCTTTTTCAAAATTTCAACGATTTTCGGTTTCAGCAACATCTGTACTACAAATCTAAGTAATTATAACAAAGGAAAATTTGGTGTCCTGAAATCTGCCCTTTGACATATATATATATGTAGTTAAAGCTTTCTGTGACTAATGCATACCAGTTCGAAAATACAAGATAGAATTTACTGCTCATAGAAAAAAACAGCGCTTGCCGTCGCTATTCCTCGCTGTGACTCCTTGTATCTGTGTATTACACACACAACGCACCGTGTGTCCACTCCTTTAACTTGCTTCCCACTACGTCTATCTTGCTGCCCGCTACTTTCACCTTTTTCCCACTCTGCTGCTGAAGGCATTCTGACCTTGAACGAACACGCGAGTTCGACTCGCGCCACCAGACGAGCACGCGCCCGCCGACCGGGGTTTTGTGCATGCCTAGTCTAGACGATATTAGAATAGCCGCGAGAGATTTACAAGAGTTAATATATAGGATAGAAGCCGTGTTCAAAGTATTACACGAACGTAACATTAAAATTAATACAGCTAAAGGCGAATTTTTCCAGTCGGAAATCAAATACTGCGACTACGTAATAGATAAAGACGGAATACGTAAAGATAAGTCCAAGTTCGAAGCCGTTTCAAAGATGCCGCGTCTAGTGATGCGCACGAGACGAGACAAATCTCGATCTCGTCACGATCCCGTCTCGATTTCGAGATGGGTAACATTTGAGATCCACGAAATGTCATTGATATGAATGCAGTATACGAGAAATCTGGGAAAGGATGAGGATGGATGCGAGAAGAGAGTGAAAGGGAACGAAAGTGAAGGGAGGGTAAACGAATGGATGAATGGATGGATGGATGGATGGATGGATGGATGGATGGATGGATGAGAGAAGGAATGAAGGAAGGAAGGATGAGTGAGAGAGAAAGATGAAAGGTAAGGAGGGAATTCCCCGGAAACGGGGGCGAGCTCTCTCTCGCTCTCTCGATTCGGTGTGCGCGTGCGCTGGCGGTACGTAAAATAAGATAAGGTTAAGGATAGGTATAAGGTAGTGTTAAGAAAGATATAGGTGTAAGGACTAGGTTTAAGAATAGGTTAAAGTTAAGGTTAAGGTAGGCTAAGGAGATTGTATGGGGAAGGAAGGCCATGTAGCTCTTAGGGGAAACATTAATAAAGACATACATGCATATGAGAAATCTGTCAGCGATTCAGATTGGACAAATGCATTAACAAAATGTTATAATATATGAAGAACGGATAAGGATGTTAACATACTGTCATGGTGGTCAACTCATTCAGAGGAGTATCCCTGTTTATCGAAAACTGCACGGGACTTCCTAGGAACGCCGGTCATGTCTGTTCCAGCGGAACGTTTATTCTCGAAGGCTGGATTAATTATACGCAAACACCGTAACCGAAACTAATTACTGAATCTGCTAGGTCGTTAATGTGCCTTTTATTGTATTTTTTTTTTTTATTACAGTGGTGGAGGGGAAGTTCTCCAAAGACACCCCCCAGATGTTGTTGGAGGGTAGTGTGGGATTTTTACCCACTAAAACCTCTTCACCACAGCTCTCCGGGGCGGAACTATCGCGATAGTAATACTCACCCCGGCGAACAACTACCTCGTCAGCCTCCCTCCTGGAAACAGCCGGAGGGGGAGGCACTCCATCCCCTAAAACGCAGCTGGTACTCCCCCGCGAGCATAGGGGTAGTAGTGCCTACACAGGCTCGCAGGAGTCGTCCGCCCACCATGTCCTTCGCTTAGGCTCGGGCCCTTGGGGAAGCTTCCATTGAACCGCTATACGAGGCGGTCCCTTCACCCTTCTCACTCCGACCTCCCGGTCAACATCAACCGGGAGGGGGTCTCCCGTGGGGGGCCGCGGAGACCCTCATCCTCTCTCCTCGGCGAGGGGGAGGGAAACGCCCTGGGTGGTAGGTGGAAACAGATCCTCATCCTCGGCCCGGACCGAAGATGGAGCCACCCAGGGCTACCCCTGGAGTGTGAGCTACCTATGGTCGACACCATGGGCAGCTAAAAACATATTGCGTCCAAGCCGGCCGTGGTACATTGCTCGGGCGCAAGGTCATTTATGTGTCTGAATTCGTGGTACGTGTCAAACTTACACGCATTATTGTAACAAATTGTGAAAAGATTTATTTACTTTTGTACTCTTACTCACTACATGACCTTTATCTAGAATTTTAATGTAAAATTGCTAATTTAAAACTTATCGTCCGTATTACTTTATAAGTTAAATTTATAAAATCGAATTACAAAATGCAAATATGCAAATATATACAGACTGTTTCTTGTAACATAGGAGAGCTATAAGGCATCCAGTAGAATTATTATCAACTTTAGAATATAAGCAAATAATTGACGATAACTTTTGTAACTAATTTTTTGTCGACAGTAGAGACGTTGTAACTTTCAAATCTTTTAAGAAAGGTTAAGGTAGTATAGGAGGTAGGCCTTTTTGAACGTTGCGTATTTGAGAATTAAGTGTACCGCAGACTGCTGTGTACCAACGACATGCATGTTGGTCGAGATTCTTCGAAATCTAGTCTCGTCTCGTCTCGTGCGCATCACTAGTCGCGTACGAGAAATGTTGCCGAAGAACGTGCGTTTATCGTCATGATCAATTACTACGATAGATTTTTTTAAGTGTGAGATACGTTTCAATGTATTATGTATTGATGAGTGGTACCTCATGGGGTGTGGGAAAATGGAAAATGGAGGGAAATTGAAGCGATGTTTCGGTGAACCTCTTGTTAGTCTGTGTCACGACGCATAACATTGTTGTGAGCACCCCTTGGATAGAATCCAGTGTCTACTGGTGCTCGCAACAAGAACAGCAGAAGCGACAAAAAAGCGATCTCATCGATCGCCTGTCAACTAGATTCGTTTGTGAGACGCCATAGAGTGCAGACATAACGAATTATATTCAGAGTTATATTCCCTAGTTGTTTACTTTGTATTTATTATTGAATAAACGTTAATTATTAAGGGGTTAGTCACAGTCAGGAAAATGGAAACGGACAGTTTCTTGTGTGTTTCTTTTAAGGTATTAAATAATAATTTTTATTAATGAAATTTTAAATATATTACAAAGTATGTTTTAAAGAACTATAAAAGAATTTTTGTTTTAAAAAAAGGCTAATTCATTTCGTCATAACAGGCGATGGCGTGGGTGGCCACTTGGTTTGCGGTGAGCAAGATTTCTACAAAGTGATGCACCTGAAAAAAAAACTAAAGGTAGATTTAGAGAATATATTAGACTAACGGGTCTCTGATCGAAGTATTTTTTATTTTCTTGTATACTTTTTTTTTATCCTGTATTGAATCGCTTAATTTTAGTAAAAAAATTGAAAATCAACTTCAAATGGACGCCATTTTGTTTCAAATTAATTTTTTCCAAAATCCTTCGATCAGGGACCCGCTAGACTAATCTATTTTCGAAATCTACCTTTATTTTTGTTTTCAGATAAAGCAGTGTAGAGAAATCTTGCTCACTGCAAACCTATGTTTTTAAATCATCGTCTACGTCGTCGGCTGTTATGACGATATAAATTAACGTTTTTTAAAACAAAACATGTTTTTTAGTTCTTTAAAACATGCTATATAGTGTACTTAATTGTTACTTATGCAAATTATTATTTAATAATTAAAAAAAAATCACAAAGAAATGTCGTTTTTCCTCTTCCTGACAATTATACATTTTTGTTCCTTTTCATAGCATCTCCATTTTGCGCCACGAAACGAACACACTGAACAAGAGAAGAACAAACTGCATTATTCACTAGATTCAAAAATGAAGTAGAGAACTCACGCTTTCCACCAGCAAACGATATTACTGATTGCATACAGAGAGATCGGAGACTGTCACGCCTTTCAGTGCCACAATAGGAACATGATTACACAACATTATTAGTGGGAAAGTAAAGAAACGACTACGATAAAGCATTATATTTTATAATGCTGTTATTTGTAACGATATTGTAAGAGATATTTTGATATCTCTGATCTCGAAACGAAGTGATCTTAAGTTGTTTCATAATTTTCAATAGCTCTTCTTACAAATACGAGAAGCTGTTAACAAACGTATGTTACAATGGCAACTAGAAAAATTGGCACGCCCTTAAAACCAGAATACTTGTTCCAATATTGTACAAATTACGTAACTTGATTGATTGATTGATTGATTTATTTATTTTGTTTGGTGTCGCATGTTTGGGAGATTGACCCGAGTGACGGTTGACCGCCGACGTACGCCGTGTCCTAACTGCCTGTCGCGCTGCGGTGATATCGCGCGTAGCTGAGCCGCAGCTAGAGTGGGGACAAGGACCACATGCTACATCCGTACAAGTACAGGGTGGGGCAGAAATAACTCCTACATTTAGAAAATTCACTATGAAGTTATCAAAGCAGTTAGAGAAGGGCGGTCTTTTCCATTAAATAGAATATATAATATAGTTTTCAGTTGTGGGGTCGGGCCCCAATGTGCGCCTAGTTGCATACAGTAGTGGGCGAGGTCCTGACGGATATAGGAGCGAGTAGCTCCGGTGTCGACCAGCGCGGAACAGCGGTGGCTTCGAACTGCGAACTCCATGTAAATTCGTCCGTCAGCGTCTACTGGTTGGTTAGAGGCGCTGTTGGTGGGGCTAGCCCTCTTGGAGATGGTAGGGACAGTCACTGGTGCGTCGTCCATTGGTGCCGCAGTAGCTGTAGAATAGCTTCCCTGGTTGCCGGCAGAATAGTCGGGTGTGGTGACGTTGGCCACATCCAGGGCCTACAAGCTCTACTCTTGTGAACTTGAAGCACGATTTTAACTCGCGCCCGTCGGGGTGATGGCGCTACTGTCACTCCTTTCGCGCCATTGAGTTCATAATCTGTGTACGTTTATTCTATGGTGAACGCGCTCGGCAAAATTTCAACTCCATATGGTCATAACGTGATAGCGAGTGCATGTAAGTGCATGGTGCAAGTAAGTGCTGTGTGCTGCTGTGTGCTGTCGGTTCTGCGATAGTGTTTTTAGTTCACACCGATTATGGATAATAATAAGAGGTAAATAATTATTATTTTTATAAAAATACTAAAGAATTACTCAAAATATATAAAAGCCGTATTTTTCCTTTGTTATAATACGAACGGGAGGGACAGGGTGGGGCAGGGCGGGGCTAGATGGGGTTTCCCCATGCTTTCCATTGTCCTGCTTTGTCCTTTCCTTTCAATTCATTTCAATTGCATTTTAAAAGCATTTGAAGTGTCCGAATACTTTTTCGGCTCACTGTACATTATTTATTGAAATGATACCTAGAAAAAATTTCGAAATTTTTAGTTATTAATTTTTAATTATTAATTTTTTCTTTATGTAAATATATATTTATAGGTCCCACAAAAAATGTGCTGTACTGGGGTGTACAAACACCAGGCAGCCGATGTTCAGCTTCCCCTGTCTGCCAAAAGGACAGTGATAGATGTTTAAAATGGCTTGAAGCTTGTGAAACGGAAGATCTATTCCAACTCTCTCCCAGCCGGTTGAGAAATCGAGTGGTTTGTGGGGACCACTTCGAAATTCATTACCGCGTTGGATCAAAGCTTACAAGTCATGCAGTACCAAGCTGCAACTTACCAGGTAATAATTGACTATACACTTTTTAAACTATATTTAACAAATTATTAATGAAAATATTTATTAAATTCTATTAGCACCTGCCACATCTATCGAGCAACAGAAGGAACTTGTAATGGAAATTGAAGAAGAAGAAGAACGTAAGTTTTTTATCTTAATACACTTAATACGCCACATATAAATGAGAAGGCCTCCAACATTAAGTGTACATATAATGTTGTATAATTTTGTTAATATAGATCAATCTGTGCTCACCGTTCGATACCAGGACAACATGGGACCCAAGGACAACGTGGGACCCAAGGACAACGTGGGACCTAAGGCTACGTGGGACCTGGGACCAGCAGAGACTCCGACGCACTTGCTTATAATGTGCTTCCTGGATCATCCAGAAGTGAGTGTATCACCTTACAATAATATTATCTTCTATTGCATTCCTTTTTTTTAGTTATGATAGGTATTTAGTATTATGCGTGTCATTTAAAAAATGCTTCTATTAATTCTTCGTTACAATTACAGGTTGCACTGTCCAAAGGAATCAAGTTCAACCAGTTATCAGGAAAGGCCTTAAAGGTATTAAATATTTTAAAAAATACTAGATGTAATAGTTAAATATTATATCTACCGGAAAGCTCTGTCCGTTTCCATCACAACAAGTCTCGACACGTAAGCACATGTTTATTTGGTGCATGTGTGCCTCTCTTTTTTTATTATATTATTTCATACATACTGACATAGCAAAATAAGTACGTGGGGATACCAATTGCGAATATGAAGAATCCGGAGGCTTTTTAGTCAACTTAAAAAGATTGTTGTCAGTTGCTCCACGTGCATCGACGGATGAAACTATTTCCATTGCATTAAATTTTAATGTTTCGAGTGCACCTGAATGATCTATTCAGGCTGCCATTCTATAGAGGGTGTAGCAGGACGGGTGGTACAACCCAACAGGGGGTGATACTACATATAAAAATAAGTCGAAAAAAGGGAATAACATTTTTTCGTTTGACGCTTCGTTTTCGAGAAAATCGAGTTTGAAAATTCTATGCAGTACGCGTGGCACTGGACTGTCTCCCCAAGCCATTGTTCGCTACAAGTTCATGACTCACTAATAAGGCGAACAATGATATGTACGCGTCAACAAGGACAGCACTTTGAACAGTTTATTCAATAATGTTATGTAATTATCGTTAGTAATGACAATAAAACTAATAAACATTAACATTTCTTATTTATAATACATATCTAAGCCTACAGGCGGTCCAGTGCCACGCGTACTGCGTAGAATTTTCAAACTCGATTTTCTCGAAAACGAAGCGTCAAACGAAAAAATGTTATTCCTTTTTTTCGACTTATTTTTACATTTAGTATCACCCCCTGTTGGGTTGTACCACCCGTCCTGCTACACCCTGTATGTATCGCGAATTGTTCGTAAGAAAATTTGTTGTAGAATTTGTTTACATTTATATTATAACACTAACGATGTCGGAGAATATACGTCGATGCATAGTGGATGCATATCTTTAATTTCTAAGGTCGTATCTGTTTGCTATGGTAATGTTTCGAACATGGCACATATTCCCGAACTTGTTACGATTCTTAAATACCAAATTTCGGAGCATATAAAATTAGATTTCATATTCTCAGAACATGGCAATAATTTGACAACATATATCATATATAATTGTATCATATAAGTGTCGAAAAATATATACGTAGAGTAAATCGCGTTATAAGTGGATTCGAAGAGAGAATGGACTCGGATCCACTTCTAACGCGACCTATTAATGTGAGTGTACAAAATTATGCACGCAGGACTGGATGTATGTTTTAATGGAATTATGTTGCAATTTTTAATATTTTACATTTGCTTTCTTTTAATTATATTTTGTTTCCTTAATAATGAATCCAGTCCTGTATGAAGCTTATACTTAATGTTTACACTTTATTATGTGAATATACAGGGTCTCCCAGAACTCCTGTAAGAACCGGAAATAGAGGGTAGCTGACACGATTCTGAACAACAATTTCCTTTGCAAAAATGTCGGTGGGGGCTTCATTTTTCGTTAATAATTCAAAAATGAAGCCTCCAACAAAATTTTTGCAAAGGAAATTGTTGTTCAGAATCGTGTCAGCTACCCCCATTTCCGGTTCTTACAGGAGTTCTGGGACACCCTGTATATGTATTTTTATATTATTGTTGCGTTTGTATTTTTATATATTTTATATGTACGAATATGTATGAGTGTGTGAATTGTAATGCAATCGTATGTATGAATGCATACATATATATATACGTAAACATTTGAAACCAGCAAGAGTCACGGTTCTTCGACTAAGATCACGAGTGATGTTCTTAGGCGCAAAGCCACGATTCTCACTGATTTTAAATGTTTACATTTTGTTGTGTGAATATATATGCATTTTTATATTATTGTTCCGTTTGTATTTTTATACATTTTATATGAACGTATATGTATGAATGTTGATACTTTATTATGTAAATAAATATGTTTTTTGTATATATATTTTATACAATTGAATTTTAGATTCTTTATTGGTTTTTCAATGTTTTCCGGTGATAATAAATTTAATTTTGTATAAGTTGTGTTTTTTCCCTATAATTATTTTTTTATTTAGATTAATTTTAAAGCAAGAATAAATACACATATGTGAGACCATACCGTTGTGTGTCTGTCTCACGGATTATATGTATGGCATATAAGGCAGGCTCCCAGACGGAACAGCCGGCCACCGCCTCCGCAGCCGTGCAAACGGATACAAACCCCCGCTTTGCCGAGCACTGTCAGCCCATCCACCTAGAGACCGGTATAGAAGAGCACCTGGTGGACATCCCGGCCATGTCCCGCCGCCACGCTATCACCATCCGGACGGCCCACGGTGTAAATCTACACCTACGCCGCATGCCAGGCAACATCCTCCAGATGCGGCTAGTCCCCGCACCGGAGGAAGTGGGGCATGAACAAATCCCGGCATAAGGGGATACTCGCGATACTGTGAATCTGTACAAATATGTACGGGTGTAACAGTTGCGCCCTGCGGATTATGGCCAGCGGCTACAGTATTCACGGAGGTTCTTGGGAGAAGTGGGAAGGAATCCGTCGTTCAGCAAGTGCATATTGTGAACGGATGAAGCTCTCTTCACTAAAAAAGGATGTTGTAATCCCCACAATAGGCATGTGTAGGACAACGAAAATCCACTAGCACGTCCCATTTCCGATGAGACTGGTCGAAATTAACAGCCGATTGCAGCGGGACTCGGAAACGCTCGACTCGGGAGTGAAATGTGAGAGTATAAGTAGTGATTAATCTGAGTGAAATTGAAAGTTAATAAGATCTTAAAAGTGAAATAAAGTGACGAGTAGTTAGAACCCCACTGAGGGAAACTGTGGAAGTGAAGGTGGAACATAGCTCAAGTGCAAATAAAAAATAGCTCGATTAAAAGGTTTGATAAACGAAAGTGAGGTTAGAGTGTAATCTAGTGAAAAAAAAAGAGGTTAAAAAATGATGGTCACGGGAAAAGAAACTGAGAAGGGGTTCATAGGGGGGAAAAACCCCCAACCTAGTAAATTCCAGGGAATTTAGAAAGGAAGCAGAGGAAGCTAATGATATCCCAGGAAACAGAATACGGAAACAGAAATAACATCCCTCCGGCTGAAGCGGAAAGGAACCCTCCAAGTAGGAGAGTGAACAAAGGATTCGAAAGTGGAAGAAGGGGAGGCATTGCGCAGCACGCCAGTTCAGAAAAAGCCATTGAAAGCGAAAGAAGAGTCATAGGAAAGCATAAAAGTGAAAATATAGATAGTGAAATTCAGAATAAAATAAAAAGAAAGTCGTGGAGAAATATCAAGAACGACGGTAAGAATGCAGAAAAGGAGAGAGCGAGAATTTGCATTAATCAGTTTTTAAAAACTTTAAGAGAAAGTTCTGCGCGCGATTTGTTCCACATTCTCTCACGGAGGAGCAAAAAGACACAAGAGTGAGTCATGACAAAGACATGAAATCTGCCAAAAAAAAAAGGACCTTGTATTCATGTCATCTATCGTAACTGGCGATGAAACGTGGTGCTTTCAATACGAACCACTCACCAAAAGGCAGAGCGCGACATGGAAGTCACCATATGAGCAGAAAGAGAAAAAAGTGCGGATGCAGAAGAGTCCAATCAAAGCGATGCTTACTATTTTCTTCGATTCCAAGGGCATTATCCATAAGGAATTCGTTCCACAAGGTCAGACTGTGAATGCTCAATATTATTTCGGTGTCCTGCAGAGATTGTGGAACAGAATTCAATGTGTTCGACCGGAGTACAAGGAAGTTCGCAGTTGGTTTTTGTTGCATGATAATGCGCCGTCACACAAAGCCCTAATTGTACGCGAGTTTTTGGCCAAAAAAAGCATCGTAGCGCTCGAACACCCACCGTACTCGCCAGATCTAGCGCCGTGCGACTTCTGGCTATTTCCTGATCTCGAATTAGCGTTGAAGGGGAACACTTACAGTACGATTTCTACCATCCAGAAGGTTTCGACCGACATCCTGAACGATATTCCGGTTCCCGAGTACCAGACATGCTTCGACAAGTTTCATGATCGGTTTAAACGCTGTATTGACTCGAAGCGTCTTCTTTTTTATTTTTGACCAGTCTCATCGGAAATGGAACAGACTGTGTACATGACAGTACTGTTTTTATTTCAAGCCTAGTACCCTTAACACTGAAAAATAAAATTAATTCGGAAATTATATGGACAAATCCATGGCCGTCATCGGCTTGGTTTTGTCGACCAATCAAATTCCAGTTCGTTAAAGAAAGCAAAGAACTTATAACTGAGGAAATAAGTAGTATTACTAATGAAATAAATAATTTACAAACTTTTAATACTAACAATACTAAAATAGAATACGTTCTCTCACTTACTACGATAGACAATATACTATGCAATTCTATTACAAGTACCTCTTCTGCAATGCGATGCTACATCTGTCAAGCAAAGCCTACCGAAATGAACAATTTCGAACTAATAAATTTCAAAATCTGTGACACTTCAAATTATTCATTCGGCTTGTCTTCTTTGCACGCGTGGATACGGTGGTTTGAATGCTTATTGCACATTTCATACAATTTACGATTTATGAAATGGATTGGAAATACGTCGGATATGAAGGAAATGAGAAAAGAAAAGAAAGAGCGAGTACAAAAGGAATTCAAAGAAAAAAATGGGATTGTATGTAGATTACGTTAAACAAGTGTGGGGTTCGTCAAATGGTAGCAATACTGCGCTCCGATTTTTTACTAACGCAGAAATTTCTGCTGAAATAACTGGAATCGACGTCACATTAATAAAAAAGTTTCACACTATTCTACAGATAATTTCTTAATTATGCAGTAATGGATGACAAGTAATTTCTTAAAGATGCATAGTAAAATGTGACTCATGTTTCAGCGAGAAGGAATTTTTGTTAACTTTGTATTTAACGAGATGTGATGGTCAAGTTTCGTTTTTCAAATGGTAGTATATATTTTTTTTGTATACCATGCGATAACACTCTTCATGACGAATTCATTAAGCTTTACTGTATTTACCCGATTTTTATTAGTTTTCAAACTATACGCTTCAGGGGAGTCGCCAGTAAAATGACTCACATTTTTAATTAAATACGTAAATTCGGAAACCTCTGCAGCTTTTACAGAATTATTAGAATTATTAAAAAGAGATGCCATAGATTGCTCTGCAGAAGGTTTATTTTCAGCATTTGAGAAAGCATTACACAAAAGGCAAATTTCTATGCAGAATGTAATTGGACTCACATGTGACAATGCATCAGTGATGATCGGGTGCTTTTCATCATTTTGTTCGAAACTTAAAACGAGGTGTCCTTCATTGATAACAGTCAATTGTATTTGTCATTCCGCGGCGTTAGTATGTAGTAAAGCTTGTTCAGAAAACCCAAGTGATATTGAAAAATTGATTCACAATTTAATGGTTTATATTAATAGTAGCGCCAAACGGTCGGCAAATTTTGCTCTTTTTCAAGAATTTATTTATAATTGTTACGTTCCGACATTTTCATTTTTATTTTTCTTGATTTCGTCGATAGGTATGTGTTCGAGATGGTTTACCATCCTGAATTCGTTCTAATCGAACACAAACCTAGCCTTCGACGGTAGTTTATTAAATTCATTTTTGAACAAAGATACACATTCCCTCCTTGAAATCAACGTCGTCACGCCACTTTCACCCTACTGGCAGCGCCGCACCGCAGAAAAATGTATAAATATGTAAATATGGTAATATGTTAATATGTAAATATAATAGTATGTACGTGTTGCGTTTCGCGAAAATTATGCGTTAATTGTTATATATGCGATATAAATATTCAAGCGTCGTGGTAAAGGATAAGCACACAACGTATCATTGCTAAATTCAAATATTACTCGTTTTGCTAAATATTTAATACGACGGCTACAGACATCGTTTGAAGGAGAGATGTATAAATACCACGTAATCGAGTTAAACATTTCTTTTGACATTTTTTCATTGCGAACGCTCTGGAAGCTGAGGTATACCTAGAAGCAGCCTTATGTTTCGCACTCGCGTAACGTTGTCGCGCGGACGAATTGAGCAGTTCGGTGGCGCGAGACTCGAAGGGATGGTACCATTCGTCAATACAAGATTCTCGCGCGTGCCAAGTCGCCGAGCAATGTTGATAGTTTTTATATCAACAAACCTTCCATTACGAACTTCTGGATCCTTTGTCTTCAAACCTTCTAGAACGTTCGATAGAGTTTACGTGGTTAAGCAAAGCGTGAGCCGAGATCAGTCTTCATCGTACAGGGTGTAAAAATATTATTGATCACCACTTTCAGGGATTATTGTACACATCTGGATCGGTGGACATTTGCAAAAAAAGCATCCGCAAAATCCATTATGACCTCGAAATTTAGGGTCAGTTTTTTATAATTTTAAAAAATTCTACTCGAGGAGTAGGTAAAAAGCTTCAACGGAGCCACATGCCAGAGACGAATCGTTTTCGCGTAAAAAATTGTTAACGTTTTCCAAATTCTCGATAGCGCGGAGCAACTCAACTGGGCGCTACCGGCGCCGAGGGCCCCCCACCCTAGCTCCTATTCGTATATGCACGCTCAATAGTGAAGTATGACCGCACCACATAAACGTAATACGTAGCGCGGAACAGAATGAAACCGTGTTACGTACTTCCTTGGCAAATAAAAGCGCATCAAATGCATTTAATGCATTAAATGCACGATTACACTCTACATTTTAAAAGGAGACCAAACATGACGTAATTCACAACATATTAACTTGTAACTATATTGCAGAACATTGACTAAAAAAAGATGCATGGTAAATATGATCCGATTTATATCGTGTTTAATCTTATTTGAATCGGAAACATGTCAGAAATGTGATGCTAAAGGCTTTAGAACAAAAAAGTTAATAATAAAGAAGTTTCACCATTGCATTAAATCCGATTCCAAATTATGTTTACACTACTCGGCGAGCGAATATCTGGGCCCCTCAAGTGGCCCGTCCCGGCCCCGTCCCGGATCATGTTACATTGCTCGGCGAGCAAACTCCTTCATTCCTCAAGAGGTATACCTCCAGTTGTGGTGCTGTTTTCTGTGTATTTATGAAGACATTACTGTATGGCGATGAGTTTTATCGTTGTATTAGCATTCTCTCACTGATTCTCTACAAACTCTAGAACTGTTAGCCTCCGGCTACAATTACCTTATTTGGTAGCCCAGACCATTACTCCTTCGTCTAACCCAAGGTTCTTCCAACCGTCACTTTGATCGAATTTTCCTGCCAAGCCTCGATTCAGTCGCACACGATGAACATTATATGTATCTAATAAACATACACAGGTTGCCACAAGTATCTGCAGAGGGGAGTGCAACAGTTCCAGAAAGTTAGAATCGTCTTGACGACGGTAGAGAACAGAGCCTAGAGATTTCCTAATTATCCAAATTTCTAGTTTGGTTTTTACCGAACTTTTCCATATTTATTATTATTAACTAATTGTTTTTATTCTCTTTTATTATTAGTTTACGTGTATTTATATACAATATTATGGAGGACCATCGAAGAAACCGTGGACGTAATTTCGTGAATGTGCGTGAAATGCTTCGTGCTATTGACGCGGCGAACAGAAACTATGTTCTAGCGCGTAACATTTATCGCGAATATTTACAAAGCAGTAGAAGACAGTGTCGTTCAAGAGACGTTCCTGACAGGCGACCATTCCAAAGACTGGACCATCGTTTTAGTGAAGTGCTATTAAGTGAAATCGGAAATGTATCGAGTCATCGGAATGCTGGTAGACCACGGACAAAATGGAGAACAGAAGAACAAGTTATTGCACTTGCGCGATCTTTTCCCCTAACGGGTTTTCGTGGGATTGCTCGTCGAGTGGGTATATCGCATACAACGATGCGACGAATAATTCGGGACGAAAGTCTGCGCCCTTACAAAATTCAAAAGGTGCAGGCACTGAAACCTGGTGATCGTGCTGCACGACGAGGATATTATCGATGGATGATAAATAAATTGAGAAGGAACGGGGATTTCCTCAGAAACGTCCTTTTTACCGATGAGAATGCTTTCTCAAGCACAGGTATGCAGAATGCGCAAAATACGAGAATATGGGCATACAGAAATCCGCACGCTGTGACACAACGATTCAGCCAAGGAGGTTTCACTGTCAACTTATAGGCAGGAATAATAGGAAACAATGTTATTGGTTCTATTTATTTACTGTCATACTTGAACGGGGGAACCCGTGGCCGTAATTTGCCGTAGCACCGAAAGTACAAAACTGCTCGGAAGTGGCAAATGTCGCCGTAACAACGGCAGCTTACAACTGACCGGGAGTGGTAACTCCTTACCATAGCATCGAGAGCCCATGCTGCTCGGGAGAGGTAAGAACCGGGCGTGGACAGGGCAACTCGTACCGCGACCGGAAGGCTGTCTGCGAGATCATAAGCGCCCGAATGCAACGCATCGTTTGATCTTTGTCGAATTTTATTGTTAGATGGGTTTACTAATTGCCGCGATGAGTCGGTGAACTGTTCGCGTGTGGATATCAGTCAAGAAAATAAAGCCGAAAAGTCCCTCGCGGGGCCTTTTGTGCTTAAGTTCCGATAGCTCGCATTTAAGGAAGAAATATCAAACGACACCGTCAAAGTGCAGACCGCGCCCGTTTGACGGCGAATGCCGAGTGATCATCGGCGACCAGACTTTGTGTCTGGACGTGGAGCCGCGAGTCGGGCGCAAAAAGAAGAAATCGCGTGACAATAACCCGAAGGAGGACACGTGCCCAAGGCACGTGCCAAATTCTCGAAGGTTCGATGGAGTTTGGTAGGAGACTCGGGAGGGGATGGATATTATAAAGCGGCGAAGTCGGAGAGTTGGCATTAGCATGTTAGCCATCATACGACATCGTTAGACATAATTGCGAAACCGTCGCGGAACAAATATGAACAATCGTTTAGAAGACTGCCTTACTAACAACGGTGGACACATCGAAGTCAACAAGCAGGCCAGACTGTTAAGGAGCATCAACCAGAATGGCGCCGTTTTATGGATTAGAAGAAGATAAGCTGTAGTAGTGACAGTGATAATGATGGTGATATTATTTAATGATAGTGATAGTGATGGTGATATTATTTAGTGATATTGATAGTGATAGTTATCGTTATTTGTTTCAGTGTTAATATATCAGTGATACTGTGATATTCCAAGGGCCGTGGGTGGACCGAGCGGGGGCTCCGGTAGCCCATTCCGATGGCGAAGGATGGAGACACCGGGCGGGTCCCTCTGCCCGGGGTCTTATAGAGTAGGTAGTAGTGGAGGCTAACCCTCTGCCCCCGGGATTCATGTATGTATACTGGGAAGTGTCCTGTTGAGGACTCGCGTAACCCAGGCACTTCCTATGTAGCTTAGGCGGGTGTGGGGTTTTAGGTGGTAGCTGTCGGGTACGAGTGCGCTCGGCGCTTCCCTCCCTGATGGTACTGCGGTATTTAATGTCAGTAATAATTTTTTATATTTATTATCCTTGATATTAGTGTGTGTTTTTGTGCATCGTGAAGTGATTGATGTGTAATACGTGTAAACATAGGATACCTGTAACTTCGTGAACGTGCGACATTGGAGTCATCGATATGTAAGTCAGCAAGTTATTAATTACTGTTTCAGTAATTAATAATCATTTCATCAATCATTAATAATCATTTTCTCAATCTGTCTTTTATTAAATATTGAAAGGTAAATTCTACATTGTGTATTTTGTCTTCTTATAAACGATATTGTTTATTTTCCGATAACCGATATTTTTTTTACCGATATTGTTTTTTTACATAGTCAATCATTTAAAGTGTAGAGTGTAATCGTGCATTAAAATGCATTTGATGCGCTTTTATTTGCCAACGAAATACGTAAAGCCCTGGTTTTTCTGAACGAGATCGTGACGAAATAGAGAGGGAAAAGTTCGTGGACGATCTCACCGATACCAGTGGTACGTTAGTAAGCGTAAAAGGTCTCACACTTCAGGCCGGATGGCAGTTCGTGGGTCTCCGTTCCGTCGACCGGGACGGATTTTGATATTAACGATTCGAAGCGAGACGGAATCTTCGGAATCATGTGAACTCCTGTTGTAGTGAATGAGTTTATGAGCCGTCAACCTGCATACATGTAGTATATTTGAATGTAATTAGAATTAGTATATAAGAAATTACAGGAATTTCATAAAATTATGTGTAGCAAATCAAATTGTTAGTATATCCAGACGCGAAGGTGTTGAATATATTTTATTATACTTAGTATTATTAGTAGTTATCAGCTCTGTGTTGTATTTTGTAAGGGAAGTCTCATTATAGGTACATATGTACATAGAATTACATATAGACTTCACTATTATCGCGATTTCGGGTATCCACGAAAAGACTTGTTCAGTGTCTTTTGAATTTGACTTCGAACATCGTCAATTGTACATCCATCGTCTGTGAACATGTTGCCAATCGTTACCTTTTGCGCTGCCAAGGTTGGAAACCGGAAATAAAAGATATTTCAAACAGCGGTATCTTCAGACTAAAACCAGGATGCCGAGCAATAATAAACTCAGTTCAATTTCAAGCGCTAGAGACCATTGGAACTTCAGAGGAAATGATATATCATCCGTCAAAACCCTATAATTTATCCATAATAATACCGGAAATTACAGCACAGCACCTAGACATTTTGGAAACAAACCCAGTAAAAGGGGAATCAAACCCAGCTCATTGGGACGAGCTACCAGCAGCATTGACACTCGCCGATTTGGAACAACAAGCATCGGACCTATCGAAACATCAAAAATCCATACGAAACATCCAAATCACGCACTTCTCATCAATAGGAATTGTCATGCTCATAACAATCACTTCAGGTGTAATAATTTTTATTAAGTACAAAACCCGGTCAAAATAAGAAAACCCAGAAGAAACAAATAAAATAAAAATAAATATGCCCAGTACATCAGAACTTTATGCTGAACCGAAATTCCCTAGACCTTGTGCAACAATCTTCTAAGACGCACCCCCGCAGCACACCCACCGAACTACTCCGCGTCAAGAGTGGGTGTAACTAGGGCGCTCGACCTATATAAGGAGGAGCCTTGGACTCCAAGATCAGTCAAAAGCCAAATGAAAAAATCAGTCGAAGTTCAAACCGTCCCAACCGAAGGCACGCGCACCATCGCAATCCAGACAGGATACCACAGGACCTGGGAACCAAATCTCGAAAAGGAGACCATCCTCTACCCCAGACAGTACAACCCAGCCACTGGAGGCCCAACCCTGAAGTGCCGATGCACACAAACCAAGAAAACAAAACAAACAATATCAGGAACGCAGACAGAAGAACCACTAGCAAAAAAGAGACCATCAGCACCCTGGTGGCATATCGCAGATTTAACGGATAAAAACGTTAAATACTTCACTCCAGGCGAAGGATTCGGAAAGACACCGAAGAAATGCAGAAGATAAACACACATCTACCACTGCAGGACTGCCGCTGCATCACCCTGAAAGCGGTCGACTTCCATGAAGTGTGGGTGGTTGAGGAGACAAGCCGTGAGGCGTGGACAAACTTCCTCATACGTTACAACCACCACATGGAGTCGAGGAAACATACACTTCTACCTACCACCGCGAGTCTAAAACCAGGAAGACTCGTGGCGGTCAAGATCGGCAGCAGATGGCAACGCGCAGTCCTCCAGGAGGTAGCGGGCACCTGTTACAAGGTATTCCTGGGGGACTATGGCGAAGAGAAAGCCGTCACCAAGGTATGGAGCCTCCCGCCGCGTTTCTGTGACCTGCCGTGGCAGGCCATAAAAATACGCATCCGAGGCATCGAACCACAACCAACAACATCAAAAGCCGTAGCGGCGGCGGTGATGGACAACAGGAGGGGAAAAATCACCAATATCGGTGCAGCCAGGGATGGTCTCGTGGCAGACCTCTTGTTGGACCGTCAACCAGGACAACCACCCGTCGACATGGCAAAACATTGGCTTGCCACTAACTACCCGGTGGCAGACATCACACCAACCGGACTCTGACGACATCACACCCATCGAACATCAACATCCAATAGAGATAAGTACACAAACAACACTACACTACACCCGACACTATCACATATGCGTAACAGCTCGCTTCTAAGGTGAAAGCATCACGCGAACCGCGATGTTTCATCTTGGGAGATGTTACGTATACAGAAACTCTCCGTTTTTAGAAGCTCGCGTTTATTAATCTTATTTTATCTACCCTTCTGGAATTTGGAGCTCGGTCTCACGGGAGTGCATCCTGCAGCTGCATTCTCTTAATATCATCTTTGACTCGCGGTTCGTGGGATAGTTTCTAATCTACCCTTTTCCCAGGGCCAGCTGCCGACCTCAGAGCAACGAAAATTTTAACCGTCAAATTTCTTAATATGGAAATCACTGACGGTTCCCCACCAACATTTAGGGGTATATAAACCCATGATTTTCGTTGCTCGGGGGCTAGTACGAAAGAGTTACTCGTTAGAGACACATTGATCGTCTGTAGAGTAGTACTCTAGTGAGATCGGGCTTCAGTTCCTTTCAATCATAGTTAACCTTATAGATCCGCGAAGACGGGTTTCATCTATTACGGCCATAAAAGTACTCTTGACCCCCGCATCGCCAGTGCGTCAACACCGAGCAACACTTAGGTAATTTTAACTTCATACACTAACCGCGACGACACGACATTGGACACTTGTAATTAGTATAGTTATTTTGAATATATACTCTTTGTGTAAACTTAAAAGTCTGTAAGATCAATCATCAAACCTTTATTTTGAAATCACCAATCCTAGCCAGTGTAACGATCCCACAACATAATAACTTTACCGCTCGAGTTATTATTCTATTAAATTAACAAGTTGCGAGGCTTTATTAACGACGCGTAGTATTCATTACCGATACGTTTTAGTCATTGTGTACTCAACCCGAACTCCTAAACTTAACCTATCCTACGGTTACCCTTCACTGGGAGATACCGATTCCTAGCAGCTATCTGACTTCACGTCAGAGTCGTCTGCGTTTGTCTCCAATAACCAAGGCAACCAAACACCTTAACCTGCGGTTACCCTTCACTGGGAGATACCGATTCCTGCAGCTATCTGACTTCGCGTCAGAGTCGTCTGCATTGTCTAATCTATCCTCAGCCTTCGGCACCATTGATACACAATAAATAATCGTATTGGTTCGATTCCCAAATCTATCCCACTCGCTGGGCTCACACGGGCGTCGCTATCGCCCTGGCTCGTAACAATAGGTTCGAATGTCGTAAGAATGTTTCTTCGGTTGGTTCGAATATTATTAAGGGTGAATGCATTTGTCTAAACAGAGTGAAAGAGATGCGTGAATTGAAGTGAGAAAGGTTTTAGGCGTGGAAGAACGAATGACTAGTTCGTAAGTTAGTTCTGTAGAGAATCTCAGCGAGGGCAGATTGCGGGATACGCGACTGCCGAATAAATATCACTTTTATATACTGAGTCGAAATCTACCCGTAACCTTCCCCAAAGGGCTGTCATAGTGATGGACAATGCCCCGTATCATAGCATTAAAATGGAAAATATGACATGGTATACCCTAATATGACGTAGAGAAAGAATGATATGATTACGTGGCTTGTCAGTAAGAGGGGAAAAAGTGGAACCATATTGCGTGAAGGCGCAATTATTAGAGTTAGTTAAAAAGCATAAGAAACGACAGAATGATGTTAGGAACTTCAGCGGGGGCGAGTCGCCGCGCCCGGGAACTATATTCCCGGCGTGGCAGCTGGAGAGGCCGCGGCCGAGGTGGCGGCAAAACCTGCCAATTTACATTTAATTTATAATTTATTTTCATAAATTTTTTATGAATTTTCAATTTTTATAAATTATATAATTTATTATTGATAAATACGCCAAGCAACATGGCCACGAAGTGTTGCGACTTCTCCTGTACCACTGTAAATTAAACCCCATCGAATTAGCATGGACATATATTAAAGAATACGTAAGAGCACGTAACGTGCCAGACGTGCGGCAACTTATACATATATGAAGCCATCGAGAATGTATGTCCAGTGATGTGGTTAATAGAACAAGATTATGTCGTGACGTGGCGACAAAAATATTTGTTGGAAATAGAGAAATGTCGGACGGAAAATTTATTACCTGGACGAAATCTGGGTTAACGCCGGGGACTGTCGAAGAAAAATATCGGTAGATAGAACAGTTACCTGCCCAAGGGACGGAGCAGACAGAGGATTGTCTACGCCGCAGCTTTTTTCATATTCGTCAAGAACTTTCTCTGTTTATGGATAAGGTAGGTCACGCAGTTCCACAGTTGGAAGATGATATGTGGATAAGGGGTCTCGCTTTCTTATCCGATATCACCGACCACTTAAATGCCTTAAATCTAGTATTACAAGGTAGAGAACATACAGTCGTCCAATTATTTGATTCGATTCAGCTTTTTAGAGCCAAGCTTGAATTGGTCAGTTAAATGATTGAGACACAACTCATTTTAAGAAATTAGAGTCCGTGGCCGGTGATAAAGATTTCAGTATTTATGTAACCGTTTTACAGTCACTTTTACGAGAATTTTTATCGCGGTTTCAAGATTTATTACAGTTAGATTTGTAACTGCAAATTATCACATCGCCCTTTCAATTCAAAGCAAGTTCAGCTCCCGCAAATTTACAAATTGAATTGCTGGAGCTACAAAATACTAGATTTTCACGTTGTCACGTACAAGTTGCCAGACGTACGGCAACTAATATACGAAGCCATCGAGAATGTATCTCCAGTGATGTGGCAGAATTTTATTCGTCACGTAACAGGGGAGGAAAATAGACTCCAGGAATTGGATAACATCACCGATTCTATATTAGACGATGGGGCTGAACGGGTGAAACCACCGGCCACGTCGTCAAACTCCGAAACCGAGTCAGAGTAATTTCTCAGTGGCCTTGGGGTTTTAGTGGGTATTCCTGAAGATTCAGGCGAGTCACACAATCCCTCGCTCATTGCACGCCAGCGCGAGGGGTGCGTAAATACATTTCTCCAAGTAAAAAAAAAAGAAAAAATGAGTATTGGTAAGGTTTAAGGGGGGAACCTGGTTTAGAATTTCAAAATTATCGTTTTTTTTTTTTTTTTTTTTTTTTTCATAAATCAGTAATAGTATTCATATAGAATATATTCCTGAAGTTATACAGCAAAATTCAAAGTGTTTCGGTAAATACAGTTCGAGAAAGAGGTACACATCGCGCAAGTATACGGGCGCGTGGTCAGTAGCAGTTTCCTTAGCGGTCTCGAACACCCCTACTTTTTCCAAAACCTTTATGTCCCTAACACAGATTTATCAGCGTTTGTGTGCACGTAGGTCAAGTCATTTTTCCTATAAATAAGTGTACCTAGTTGAGTCAGCTGTTTCAAATGACAAAGAAGTTTTCGGAGAAAGTTTCGAGGCGGTTATCAGTGTAGGATTTATTATATGTTACTATATTTATAAAATGCTGACTTAACTATTAACGAAACTAAAATGAATAGAGTCCGCTCAACGATCCGCTCTACGTCTATTCGCGCCGTCTTTACCCTTCGACTGCTCAACTAAATCTGACCTCGACGCTTCTTTCTCTACCTCCCCTTAAAGTTAAGCACTACCCAGGGTTTTTCCCAGGCAGGGGAACGTTGTTCTAGGCGGCCTCGCCGAGGCGCGCCTGGACAACATCAGCCCAAATGGCCAGGTCATAAATTAAACTAAACTAAAGCTACGTTACAATATCCTTATACCTATCCTATAACTAACGCTCTCTCTCTTTCTCTCTCACGCACACGCACACATTCCCACTCCTACATCAGTAAAGGCCAGTCGAGCTCTGAGTTTCGATTTGAGAAGACGTCCAAGCGATAAAATGTATCCAAAATCAAAGAGTGGAGAGTCCCAACGATCATCAAGACCGCGAAAGAGACAATTTCACGGGAATAGATTTTCCGATAAAGAAAATAAAAAGGAGCAAAGTGCAAGTGCTAAGAAACTAAGTAGTGGGAGTAGCAGTGATATAATTTGCAACCCACTGCATTATTACAGAATCGTGGACTTTATAACTGTATTTGGCGCGCTTGCAGAAATGCTTATTTGTGCTCAGTGCAAACAAAAAGTTAAATTTGAAGAATCCGGTAATCGCGGTTTCGGTTTTAAACTAAATGTTGTATGCCACTGTGGCCGCAAAGAAATTAATTCGGGACCGTTAATTAATACCGGATATGAAATAAATCGGAGAATTGTCTTCGTTATGAGGTTGTTAGGCATCAGCCGAGAAGGCATAAACATATTCAGTGGACTTATGGATATGGGTCAAGGTCTAAGCATAAGTACATACGATCTGATTGTGCGACATATACACGCAGCCACAAGTTCAGTGTTTAATGCTTTATCCAAGAAAGCCGCTGAAGAAGAAAAAAGAGAAAACATAAAACATGGAAGACCTTCTACAGAATTTAAAGTATCTGGCGATGGATCATGGAAGAAACGTGGGTTTACGTCATTATACGGTGTTACAACAATTATTGGATACTACACTGGCAAAGTAATGGATTTCGTCGTAAAGAGTGGCTACTGTCAGGCTTGTACGTTTTGGAGTAATAAGAGAGATACCGACGAATACATTGAGTGGTATGAACAACACGAGGAAGAGTGTTTCGCAAACCACTATGGTTCATCGGGTAAAATGGAGGTCGATAGTATACAGGAAATGTTTTTAAGGTCGGAGGAGAAATTTGGAGTCAAATATCGGAATTATATTGGAGACGGTGATTCCAAAACGTACAAAGGTATTTTAGATTGCAATCCATATGGCGATGATTACCCTGTAACAAAAAGTGAGTGCGTAGGACACGTGGAAAAACGGATGAGCACACGGCTCAGAAATTTAAAAAAAACAGAAAAGCTTGGTGGAAAAGGAAAATTAACAGACATTTTAATTAAAAAGTTAACCACATATTATGGACTAGCGATAAGACGAAATGTAGATTCCGTGACCGATATGAGAAAAGCCATAATGGCAACATTACACCATCTGTGTTCCACAAATGAAAATCCAAATCATGACAATTGTCCAATCGGAGCCGACAGCTGGTGCGAGTGGCGGAAGGCTCAGGCGGCAGGTCAAGAAAAATTGTTCAACCATCCACCTCCACTTCACCCAGATGTCGCTAAACACATACGACCTATTTACGAAGAACTTTCGAAGGAAGATCTGCTAATTCGATGTTTAGGTGGCCATACCCAGAATTCGAACGAAAGTTTCAATTCTACAGTCTGGCGCCTAGCACCGAAACATTTAAATTCAGGCCTAAAAATGATCGAAATTGCCGCTTTCATTGCTGCCAGCATTTTTAATGAAGGGTACTCGTCCATCCTTCGAATAATGAACGCACTACAAATAAATGTAGGACAACAAAGCAAATTTTTTGCCGATACGCACGACGCGCAACGAATCTCGAGGCAGGAGCGCCGCAGATCAAGCAGCACGAAGGAGGCTCGAACAGCTTGCAGACTGGTTCAAATGCAACAAAACGAATTTCATGAGGAAGCGGAAGGCTTGCTGTATGGGCCTGGTATAGCAGACTAACCTCTGATTACAGTATGTTTTCAATAACTATTACTTTTCTGTATCGAAAACTTCAAACACGTTTTTCTCGAAACCATGTTTCGGGGGTTTGTGTACACGATAGACAAAAATCTAGTTGACCGATCGGCTTTTCCCAAGGATTTTTAGTTAGATAATGAATAATTGTCCTCTATGAACTAAGAACTTTGAAAAAAGATCAAATTAAGTAACTTTTTTTTCTACAAATAAGTCGAAATTTTGTCGTGAATATCAAATTTTTTCTTAAACGTCCTATAATTTGTACAATTTTATACTTTTGCATTCTTTTTTTAGCTCATATAGGACAAAATTACATAACATTGAAGAAAAAATCAATTTACTTTGTTTCAGATAAGAATTGGATATGCTACATTGTACACAATCTGTTACTCTTCGTGGTGAAGTGCTTATGAAGATTATGTAAATACCAGGAATAAAAAGTACTAATTCCTAATACAAAATTTTTATTTTATTCTTCGAACACGTAATAACACGCCCTTAAAGTTTAGCGAAGTTCTATTTTATCTTTGTTCCTGAAAAAAATTCTTAAAAACCACTTTATTTTCAGCGTTCTAAACCAGGTTCCCCCCTTAAGTAGATAATAAAATATTGTGTAGATATTAAATATTATCTAAATATTAAACACTGTGTATATTGCGTATATCTGTATGCGCAAACATTATTGTATATACAGTAACCCTTTGAGCTCGGAGCATTTTTCAACATAATCAAATCCAGTCCATTTTTATAATAAATTTCTGTAAAACTGAAATCGTTATTTGTAAAAAATACGAACATTCATGACTCAATGTGTTATTATTTCATTTAATAATTAAAATTAAATAATAAAATTGGTCCGTTAATTAAACAATAAAGTTGTACGTTCAAAAAATTACATTTAGATTACATATCTTGTCCTACAGGCGTCACTCAAGTGCAAAGAGTTAAACACGAGTTCATTTATTTCACTCTGGTTAACTCAAGTGTACAAGAAAAAATGAAAGACTCAAGTAGTTATCATTGGAAAATAGAACATCCCCATAAAAAAACTACAAGAAAGTAGAAAAATATGTGAAAGCGAAATGAGCTGCCAGTACATAGAGGTGCTTTCCAGCACAATGCAATGGCAACATTGTGTAACACAATGTAAAATTCGGTGCTTTCCAACTATACGCAGTTAAAATGCTGTGTTTAACAGTGCTGACGTTCAGACTTTAATGACAACTCGTGCAAAGTAACCACTCCACACTTTGACTGCAAAATGAATAAGCTAAATAGCGTATCTGCCACAAACTGAGACTGTTTAAAAATTTGCCTAGATTTCCATAGCCTGGAAGTCAAATGCTTGGCGTGCCCAGGCAAGGTCGTGTCGATGAATAAGAATTATTTTAAAACGCTAAATAATGAAAGTGTACTCATATTGTCAGAGTTTTGAACTGACAAATTATCTGAAAGTCTGTGAGAGTGAAAGTATGGGTATCGATGATATAAGAATGCCTTGCAGAAATCTAGGCAAATTTCTAAACAGTCTCAGTTTGTGGCAGGTACGCTATTTAGCTTCTTTATTTTGTTGCCAAAGTGCGGAGCAGTCACTTCGCATGAGTTGTCATTAAGGTCTGAACGTCAGCACTGTTGAACACAGCATTTTAGCTGCATATAGTTGGAAAGCACCGAATTTTAGATTGTGTTACACAGTGTTTGCACTTTATTGGAAAGGACTTTAATGTATCGGCAGCTCATTTCGATTTCACATATTTTTCTACTTTCTTGTAGTTTTTTATGGGGATCTTCTATTTTTCAATGATAACTCCTTGAGTCCTCGACTTTTTCATGTACTTGGCGTAAATTTTTTACTTTTGTGAAGTTTTTCATCGAATTTCATCGAAAAAACCAAAGTAGAAATACAAGATGATGGTTGTACAGTACCTGTCGATGATTTATTGTTTACTAGATGTAGAGTTATCTGGTACGGTGCGCTGGCTCGTTGAGGAATCTGACGCTGTAAATACTATATTCAGCCAACCTGTTGAGCAGAATCGGGTGCGACGGTCTTCACTTCTTTCGCATTTCGATTTCTTTCGCGCTGGCTAGAGTCGCAGGTCACTTGTGCACTCCTAAACTCGCGCTGATTTGGTGAAACGACAAACAAAGAATCGCGTTGTATCGAAAAGAAAACCTTTTACGTTGGCTTGTTGAAACCAGAATGGCGGCTCCGCGCACGTGTTCGCGAGCGTGCCGCTGGTGCGCGTTCCGAAAACAGCAGGGCCCCCAAGCTCTACTCTTGTGACCATGAAGCCCGATTTAATTCGGGCCCCTGCATCTTGGCGGCGCCAGTGTCACTCTTTTACGTACTATTAAGTTCATATTCTGTGTAATTTTATTCTATGGTGTATGCACCCGGCAAAATTTGAACTACACCTCACTCCATATATCCATATTTGGTCACTGAAACATACGAACGTTTTCAATTGTTTCGAAGCTAACCGCACGATCGAACGCGATCGATAATTCAACGATTGGAATGATTGGATGGAATTCAACGATTTTACTAAAGACATGGACGATAAAAAACGGTAAATAATTTTTAAAGTATATTATAAAATTTTTAATGAAAATATTTAATGAATTCTATTAATATCAATTAGCACCTGCTGCATCTGTCAAGCCACAGGAAGAAACTGGGATGGAAATTGAAGAAGAAGAAGAATGTAAGTTTTTGATCTCTATACATATACATATGATAAAATAATATATAAACATAACATTTATACACTACATGTAAATGAGAAGATCTCCAACATTTAATGTATATACAATGTTATATAATTTGGTTAATATAGATCAACCCGTGGTCATCGTTGGATGCCAGGACAATGTGGAACTTCAGGACAGCGTGGGACTGAAGGGCTTCATTGATCCTGATACCAGTAGAGACTCCGGCGCCTATAATGTGCTTCCTGGTTCATTCAGAGGTTAGTGTATCACCTTACAATAATATTATCTTCTATTGCATTCCTTTTTTTAGTTATGATAGGTATTCAGTATTATGTGTGTCATTTATTATATATTTTATTGCATTTTTTATTGTACGTTATTGTACGTTGTACGTTATTGTACGTTTTTCCGTATTTTTATTGTATATTGTATTTTTTTATTATATATTTTTATTGTATATTTTATTGCATTTTTTTATTATATATTTTTATTGTACATTTTACCGTATTTTTATTATATATATTTTTTATTGTATATTGTACTGTATATTTTTATTACATTTATGTGTAATAAATTTAATTTCATAAAGTAGGACCTTTTTTTCCTTCCTTTACTTTTTATTCAGTTTCATTTTAAAGCAGGTATAAATACATATATATAGGACCATGCTGTTGTGTATGTGGCTCACTGATTATGTTGTATGTGGTAGTAACGACACTGGCGCCGCCAAGATGCGAGGGCTCGAATTAAATCGGGCTTCAACGTGAAATACGGTAGCTTGGCAGCCCTGGAAAACAGTTGAAAACTCGTCAGCTACACGAGCGCCCGCTGTCTATCGATGAAGGGATCGGCGTGGCGCTGGCAGCTTCAAACAGATTCGCAATTCGCGGGCAAATTCGCAAACAGTGAGTTCACAACGGCAGAGATGCGCAAAACCCTAGGCTTCGAATAAATCTGAAGTTTGCCGATGTGTTTGTCTCGTTTCTTTCTCTGGAAAATGTTCAAAAGAGGAAACGAGACAAAAATATCGGCCAACTTTAGATTTATTCGAAGCCTAGGGGTTTGCCCTAGTACAACTAGTTTGTACGTTTTTGCGCTTAGCAAGGGTATTTCAATTATTGTGTTAATCGTATGTTTTTCGGCATATGCTGCTATATTAGTGAGTGAGTATATGTTTACGGTATTGAGTGGTAATGGTGGTCTTAAACCTTTTGGTAGTAGAGGTAGTGTTGACTCAGCAACTCGGATAATTTCTGTCGGTGGTATAACTAGCGGATTGAGAATTCCTTTTTTAATATCTACTGCGAAATTTAATAGGTTGCGTACGTTACCTGCGAGGTTTCTGATTATATTTTCGATTAGAATTGAGTTCTTGTCTATCATAGCTTGGTAATTTCGACTGTCAGTTTCTGTCTCTAATAGTTGTCTCAGGGTATTTGTTGCGTTTAGTAACGTGTGTTCGTTAAATAATTTAATGTTCGCGTTTACTACTTGTACTTGGTCTAGTAAGGACGTCCTTTGGGCAATTCCTTCTTGTTTCAACATTTGTAACTGTCTTTTAATCGATTCTCCGTCTTTTGCGTCCATTGTGCCGAATAATGCTCTTCCTAAATGTCCTATTCCGTCGATTAAACCGCGGCGAACGTGTATAGACGGATCAAGAATTTGATATGCCGTGTTTAAGTTAATTTTAGTTTGGTTTAATAAATTGTTTTAGATGAGGGAAAATTTATCACAGAAATCTTTCATATTGTGGTATGGATTATTTGTGTAGTGGCTCGTGGCGCCTTTTAGTGCTGACTTGATTTTAGTATATCGGAGACTTAGTGAACTTGTGTCGATGTGGAATACCAGTTTCCATGTATCCTTATACGTCTGCAGGTTTCCTATGTTTTCGAAATAGACACCTGGTTGGCTTGGGAATGCCGTGATTTGGTAAGGTTTGGTATCCGTTGCGTCGGCTGCGAACACTAGTAACCAAAAAAAATGCTGACCTGCAAGGTCGGGGTGGTTATTAGGATATATATAGACTTGGGGCTTTGCTTTTTTCATCATTCTGTCAATTTTGTTCAATCATGGAGTGTCGTCTGGAATGTAGTTGTCATGGAAGTAAGTTGTGTCGTTATTGTTAACTCGCTGTTAGAGTGTAGAAGTGTAATTCTTACGTGTGTTTTTCCATTTTTATTTTTGTTTTATAGAGGTTATCATAGTTTCCAAAATGTTGTTTATTCGCTGGGCCCGAGAGGCGGCCTGGGGCTGGTGGTCCTCCATGTGAAAGGAAAGTTGGGAAGATGATGACATCTTTCAGCTGAGACGCTTATTCGGGGACGAACCCTACAGGGTTAGTATTAACGATTTGAGCGAGATTTGTACACTAATTTTGCTTTACTAACTTTATGTTTTTTTTTTTTTTTTTGGACTATTAATGAGTTAGAATAGTTCATGTAATAATTACCTTAATTTTTGTCTCCCATTAAATTGTAAAATTTACTTATGATATGTTTCTTATTTATTTATTCCTAGTTTTCCTTGTTCCCAAGCTGTTTATATATTTTATTGTTTTATTCCGCGAAATGTTTTAGTCTGTTAGTATGCACACGTAGTGATCGATGGCCCTTTTTAATTGTGTAGTTTTCTTTATCGTAGACTTGAATAATTGTATAGGGTCCTATCCAGAACGGTGACAGTTTTTTTGTTCTTCCTCATCTGATTGTTTCGTCGTGTAGCAGTACTTTGTCGCCTAATTTAAATTTGTTGTGTCTAGTCTGTGACGGGGCAGACTTTTTCTGCCCGTCACGAAGGCACCTTGACCCCCGCAAGGGCCTCGCTCCCCCCTCGCCAGACACCCCAGGCCGGAGGTGGTCCGCGAGAGTGGAGTGATGAGTCCGCGGGCACTAGAGCCCCCCCTTTTTTTCGCGCCCCCTCACCCCTCCGCGATAGAGCCGTGTCTTCACGTGAGCGCGGCCAGTCCTCGGTCGCGGTGTCCTCCACCCCAGGACCGCGGTGTGACCACCACCAAGAGGATTTGACCACCCTCGCGAAGGAAACCAGTGCCATCGCCCCTCGACGCTGCCACGAGGGGAAACCTGCAGATGCCATGGTGGTGGCACACCGGGAGGAGCCCCTACAGCTCTGGGTGGGGAGAGCCGCGAGCCGACGGCGAGAAGAATGCGATCGATGAGCGATCGATTTGGGAGAGAAGATTAACGGTTAACCGCGAGCGAGGACGGAACACGCGACACCTGAGCGAGCCGCCCCTGTTACGTAAAGCCAAAGTTCTTTCGATAATTCCGCGCGTGCGTGCGTGCGTGCGTGCGTGTGTGTGGGAGCACCGCCACCATCCCCAGGAGAGGACCGCCAAGGGATCTGGAATCCAGAGACCGGGGAGATTCAGGTAGGGCCCACTGGTTGGGTTTCCTTTTGTGACGTGCGTGGGTGCGAAAGTGCGGATCGTGTGTGTGTGTCCACGAGCGTGCTCCGGAGTACCCCTTTCGTCCGCGACAGGACCACCACCGGAGGGAACTCCGTTAGACTTCCCTCCGTCCGTTTCGCGAATCTCCCCCATGACCTTGCGCGGTTTGAGAACGCGCCGCGTTTCAAAGGAGAGGGCCCCTTCGAAACGCGAAACCGTTAATTCCCGGCGTAATCTTTTTTTGATTGTATTTAATTCTAGGGCGGACTATTTGTTTGCGTGGCCCCCTATAGAGTTAAGTCGCATCTGTTAAGTATTCGTTTTCTTTCCGTCGGATACTTTCTTTTTGTATCGGGAATTCCGCGTCGCGTATCCCTTTCGGCGCGTAGTCGCCACACCCTTTCCCCAACGGTGTGTGTACCGCGGAATTCCCCCCGCGTCGGTTTCAATTAAATAAAGAAATCCGATTAAACGTACGCGGATCAAAGTTTATTTCCCCCCTTTCAACCTCCCCTGAATTTCGCTCTCCGTAGAGCAGCCGGAAGGACGAAAGTAACGGACACGTGCACTTGGCACTGGCGCCCAATTCTTTTAAATAAATTCGTCCGTGGGAATTGTGTGACCGAGCGTGTCGAGTAGCGGCTTTCCCGGCCGCCCACGTGAGGTACGTCACAAGTCTTTCTGTCATAGTGTTGTTTTCAGCGTTGTTTATTATTTCGTAAGGTGTCTCTGGCTATTGCATTGGTAGATCTAAGTCTTTGTTTTAGTTCGTGTGCGTATCTGTCATAAGTATAGTTAGGTTCGGGTGGTAGTGTAAGTGACGTCAGTAGTTCTGCTTGTCTTCCGTGTATTAATTCGTAGGGCGTAAAACCTGTCTCTGTATGCAGAGTGGTGTTGTACGTAAACATTGCGTATGGTAACCAATCGTCCCAGTTAGCTTGATCTTCGTTAATAAAGGTTTTTAAATATTCAGCTAGTGTCCAATGACTTCTTTCTAACGCTCCGTTAGATTCGGGATGATAAGCTGTAGTTTGTATTTTGTTGATTTTGAGAAGCTTGCAAGTATCCTTGAAAATTTGACTCAGGAAATTAGTTCCTTGATCTGTGAGAATTGTTTTCGGTATTCCATGTTCGCATATTATCTTAGTTACAAATTCCTTAGCTATCGTG